TTCTGCTTGCCCGGTTGGTCATACTTGTGTAGAAGAACAAACACACCTTACATATATATATCCACAAGTGAAACATGGCTCAATTAAGAGCAAAAAGCACAAATATATATATCAACATTTGCAGAAGTAACTGCATAACGACATGTAAAAGGACGAAACTCCGCATTGTCAATAACAACTCAAGCAAAATCACAGTCGTTCCCAACTTGGCCTTGTAGCTCAGACGGTAGAGCATCGTTCTAGAAATGCGAAGGTCGCGGGTTCGATTCCCACCGCGGTCAAGTAGAATTTTCTGCTTGCCCGGTTGGTCATACTTGTGTAGAAGAACAAACACACCTTACATATATATATCCACAAGTGAAACATGGCTCAATTAAGAGCAAAAAAGCACATATATATATATATATATTATATACAATGGTCATACTACAAGTGTATGATATACGAATGCATGAATATTACAAATGTTGATAGCTTGATCATGCTGTAATGCGCATGTTGTTACTTATGCCGTTAGCATTGAATATGTAGTTGGTTCAATGATCTTCAATAACCAATGGCAATGGAATAAATTAGTAAACAGTATTAATATATACTCTAATATATTCAATGCATGGTATTATATCATTACTCAAAAATGCTTTGCGTCTAATTTAATAAAGAGTTATTCAACGGAAAACGTTGCATCGTCTTGCTAAACCTGGTTAATACCAATCACACACCACAAGGAAGGCATAGATAAGGTCTATATTGTCTAAATTATTCAGTTAGTATAAATATAGTCACACACGGCAAATTCTTAATCGTGGAATGCGATTAGGTTCGTTCGACTCATGATCAAACTGTTCTTGAACAACCGTGTAACGGGTCAAGACTTGGTGACTCAGCATATTTTCTGAATGAGATATTGTCAAAGCTAATTCTGACGCAAGTTTTTCTTTATTCCAACGAGCAAGATAACGAACATTGTACGCACTACACAAACGTTGCAACTCTCCCTTGGTGTACAAGCGAACCAGGCCTTTGTGCTTTAACTCGTTTACCAACGCCAAAAGCCGTGCATGGGAAATTCGCTTCCCGAGGCTTCTATCTTGCTCTACATGCACGAGCTGCACTTTCATCTTCCTCTCGTTGGCCATTTCCTTTCTTTGTAGGACTGCCTTGCGATGTGCCAAGGATTTCTTTAAATGGTAATCCCGTCGGAAATCACGTAAGAATTGGCCAGCACCCATTTTCATGTATCTTTCGATAATTTCCAAATATAGCTCAGTCACCAAACCCTTAAAAAGGGAACGTACATGTCATAGATACATAATATAATATCACTATAATATCTTACGTGAAAAAAAAATTCAATTGAAAATTCGTAGAGCGAAAGATTATCACCTTAGATTCATCTTCATCCAAATAGAACAAATTGGAAAATTGATTCTGTAACGTTTTGTTTGTCGAGACGACCTCAATAGAATTATCAACCATGTTCGCTTGATGGGTTGTCAGCTTTCCGAGGTTAATATTATCAACCGTTTGTTGTTCCAGGGAGAGGAAAAAATCATATGCACTTTCACTGATGTGTAATAATCCCCCGTCTCGAAATTGGCTGGACTCGGTGACATTTAGGGTTTCTGGATTTGTTGCGATATTACTAACACTCGAGAATTGCATAATTAAATTGTTTTCCAGAAGGGAAATCTTTTTCATTTCTTTACTAACTTTATCACAAACTGCTCTGGTATCCAATTGCTTGCTTGCCTGCACGTAGCGCCGACTCTTTTCGAGAGATTTTCTTACCGCCCATCCGCCGATATATCTGATTTTCCCTTTTCCTTCTGCTTCCATTTCATCCACTCTAAAACAAACCGCGTCCTGCTCTTCTTGCTTTCGAACACGCTTCCCTACTTCCGCCGTAAACAATCCGTATAGATGAAATAGTAACTGGGCGACAAGACTTTTCTTACCTGCGTCAACATCCGACCATTTCTCAGCATTAAATGCACTGATTACGTCACCTCGGTACTCGTTGGTCATGAAAAGTTCGTGAAGCTTGCCTGTGGCGAACGTAAAGTTCTTGCTGGTCATGTGCATGTCCTTCAAATTATCTGTAAGGTAATCGTTTAATATTGTAGCAATTCTGCACCAAAGAACACATGCGATTAGGTTGAATGTTTCCAGGTTTTCGAGTGCATACTGCACGGCTGAATTGATGGATTCGGAAAATGGATCACTGCCTTTTTTGCTCATCTCAATGAACGCTTTTACGCTAAACTCAAGTGGAGGGTGAAAGAGTTCGTGGGTAAAGTCGGATAAACATAACAGGACATCTTCAAGATTGAGGGAAACACCTTCAGCTGACTCAAAGAATTGCCTAGCGACTGCTTCAAACTGCAAATTGTCGTTTGATGCACTGCCGCAAACACCATCTTCGCTATCGACGTAACTCTCGTCATCTTCATCTGCAGCAAAAGAGCATAGCCCGTTCACTTCTTTCTTTCGACAACAGCGAAATGTTGGTACTGGCTCTCCGGATGAGTTTGTTACTAACTCGGTCAAGGATTGTGGAGGTGGCATCAAAAAATGCTTGCGGAATCCCACGACTCTGACGTCATCTTCGTGTTTAACTCGATAAATTGCCACATAGGTTTGTCCAGGAATAAACTCAGGAGAGCAATGAACGACTGTACGATTCATCGTTAAGCCTTGCGACTTGTGAGCAGTGATTGCGTAAGCAAGAGTTAAAGGAAACTGCGTGCGGCTGCCTAGAACTTTTCCTGCTGCGTCATACTTATACCAAACTCTACGTTGTATATCGACCAACCCCACGTTTGGAAATTTTATCAACAGCTCTTCTCCATCAAGGTCAATACCAACAAACTCGCCACGGGTTCCATTTCGTAACCGTTGACTAATGTTGTACAGGAGCATGACTTGACAACTTGGTTTCAGAAATAGAACTTCATTGATGCTTTTGTCGAGGGATTTCGCATTATTGGTATCTAGGCTTTAGAAGGTTAATTTTGAGCCAGGAAGAGCAGCCAAAATTGTAGCATTATGCACTTCGACAGGAAGCCTTTTGAAATAAATATGAATTGGAGTGTCGTCACCGGACGGAAATTCTCTGGATAGGTTGCAATAGTACCTTTCCGTTTCGTCGTCCCACATGCCACTTCGTATCATATCCAACGCTTCTTTAAACTTCATTTCAAATTGATCTTGTCTTAAAACTTTCTTCAGCTCGAATCCGTGCGAGAAAACTTCTCCAAATAGCTCTGACTCGTAAACTGGCTCTCCGTTGTCCCATGAACTCCTAATTGGTTTGAGTTGCCAAAAATCCCCTGCCAATATGATTTGAAGGCCTCCAAAAGGAAAGGAATTCCTTGACGTCTCCTGATGCAGTAGATTGATTATATTCAATATGCGTCGACTTGACATGGAGATTTCGTCCCAAATTAAAACGTCCACGTTTTTTATCTGTTCCACGATGTTTCTCTGCTCAAGACAACGCGTCAGCAACACACTTTGTGGCAGTTCCGCCGTTTGTAGGTGAGTGAACAGTTTTTGCCAACCCGTTGTACCCTTCACATGCAATTCCACTTGAACAAACGATTTGGCATTTCTTTCCTTTCTTTTCCAGTTCAGACTTTATTTCCTGTACGACCGTACTTTTTCCAACACCAGCTCTCCCAAATATGCAAATATTGTGTCCAGTGGTTGCGAAATTTACGATAGACAATTGTTCTGTTGTTAACTTTGTGTATGCCATGTTACATCAATTACCTTAAACGAATAATATCATGATATATAACACTGCAGTCAAAATTCTCATTGACAATCTCTCGTTATCTACGGTGCTATATTAATTTACTTCTAGCTATAATATACAATATATATGTATACAATGTGTGCATTGAGCAAAATGTCTTTATCATAAAAATATTTCTTTTTCTAATTGCTGAAAGGCTATCTCTTTGTGGATGATTCTATTTATGGTCTGACGATTTTAGAACAATGCTTGCACTCGTGCATGCGCAGTCCAAAATTCCATAGCGAGGCGCGAGCATGCTGTTTTTTATAGGTTTCCGTTGGAAGTGCATTTCAACTGATTTTTTCTTGTAAATTGAAGGTTTTTTCAAGTTATTACATGGATGACCGATTCCGTTTATCATCAAAAGGGAAGAATATTCAACAGGAGTTGTTTCAGTCTTTTTTAGGCATAGCATAAAGTTTATTTTTCATGTTTCTAAAATTTACTTCATGGTCAAAAAGTATTCCAGTTCGAACGATGCAAATATCACGATGCATTTGATGCAAGTTTATAATTATACAGTATGTATATACTCAACAATTTGATTTTTTTGGGGTTTTGATTGTTTTATCGTTGCTATTTCAAAGTCAGTAAGGTTCTTCATGTAAATTTCGACAAAGTGGGATAATATTTTAGCTGTCTTGTTTTTTTTAGTGAAAAACATGCATGATGGCGTTGACCCCAGGGTCAACGATGAAGAACAAGTTTTAGATTATGTGCACACGGTAACGTTTTCGAGCGTTTTCATCTGTAACGCGTTTCAATAAGTGTCGTTTTTAAGGCGCGTACACACAAAAATGGGTGAAAACAGGGCGAAAACGGAATCTAATCCCGGATACGTTTTCAATGCTGGAAACGTTTTCAGACAAGCGTTTTCGCTATGAAAAACGCTGAAACGCTAAAATTCAAAATAGCGCCCAATGCAAGAGTGGCGATATTTACACTGTTGACTAGTAGCTTAGTTCTTCAGTTAATATCCTTGGTTGTAACTACGATATTGATAACAAGAAATAAAACTAAACTGGCTGCTATTCAGGAGTTCAATAATTCGAAAAGACGCCTAAAAAGACGCTTAAAAAGGCTTCGACGACCCCCAAGAAGGTCAAGAATTTGGCGCCGACCAGGCAGGACGTCTATCTGGTGGACTAATATTTGGGAGAACAAAGCAAGCATTCAGAAGTGGAAAGAAAATTTTAGAATGACTAAAAGGAATTTTATGCAGCTTTGCGAAAAGCTGAGGGCACAATTAACTGGAGAAGATACTGTGATGAGAAAAGCAATCCCCGTAGAAACGAAAGTTGCAGCTACACTGTATTATTTAGCAGACGAGTCAAGATATAGAAAGGTACCATGATGATATAGGAATGTACCAAAGGTACATTCAAAATGCTATACTCTTGAAGATCAATTTCCAAGGCAAAATTTTCTAACCCTTGGAGATAAACATATTAAATGCAATAGCCCATTGTGATTACTGATTACAACACATTTTCACTTTATCTTTAATTTAATCTCACTTCGTTTTCAGGTTGCAAATGCCTTTGGCATTGGAAAAACCACCTTATCAAAAATTCTTCGATCAGTTTGCATTGCCATAGTTAAGCATCTAGGAAAAGAGTACATAAAGATTCCAACTGATGTGGCAAGCATACACAAGTTGGCCAGCCAATTTTATGATAAGCATGGTTTTCCCCAATGTATAGGAGCTGTAGATGGAACACACATACGGATAAAGCAACCAAGAGGAAAGTCATCTGAATATATTAATCGGAAAGGTACACCTGTGCAACATTGTAACCAGTCTTCTACTTCAGAGTATCCTGTTTTATTTCTCTGTTTAATATAGGTACCCCCCTGCTCTATTGGGGGATCATTTTAAAGCGCTCTTAGGAGAATAATAATTTGAATCCCTTTGGATGCATTTTTTGAAACATTGTCCTATAGGATATCATAAGTACCTCTTTAATATATTTTTCCCCTTGAATAATCACAAAAACATCAAATTTTTGTAATTATGGGAAAAAATCACAGTCTACCCCTGAGAAAAATAAGGATGAAATATCCCTCTTTCTTATTGGATATCCAAACCCCTGAATGGAGGGGTGTCCCTATATATCAAATGGCACTGAAAATTTTAGGAAAAGGTGTCATATTGAATGTTAAATTCATTCAGTCGCAAATCAATTAAGGAACAATTAAGCCTCAACCTTTATGACAAATATATTGTTTGGGTTAAAAATAGACTGAATCTGGACTGAATATAGATAGAATATGGTAAACCAAGCACTACCTTGATTTGTTAATGTGTAGGATATTAATTCAAGTAATAATTTTCCATGAACATTTCTTTCAAGGTACCTACAGTCTAAATGTTCAAGGAACATGTGATTTCAAGTACTGCTTTCTTGACGTTGTTGTCAAATGGCCAGGGAGTGTCCATGATGCTCAAGTGTTTGTCAATTCGTCAGTGTGTAAAATGCTTAAAGATGGAACCATTCCAACTTGCCCTAAAGTGATTGTTCAAAATTTACCTCCTGTTCCAATTTGCATTTTGGGTGATCCAGCCTACCCACTCAATACTTACCTGATGAAGGAATATGAAGCAGGGGGCATAACAGAGGCTGAACAATTTTATGGGTTCAGACTGTCATCGGCAAGAATGGTGATAGAGTGTGCAAATGGAAGATTGAAGGCCAGGTGGGGCTGTTTAAAAGGTGTACTAGATGTTGATTTGGAATTGCTTCCATATCTCATTTATGCATGTTTTATCCTCCATAATTACTGCGAAGTACATCATGACGGGGTAGATCAGGCTGCAATTGATGCAGCACTACGTTATGATAGAGAATTCACTCAGCCCAGAATTCAGAGCATTGAAAATTTAATGAACAACCTATGAACTGGCGGCAGCAAATAGAACCTTGCCCAAATAATGCAAAGGACATTCGTGAAATATTCAAAATGTATTTTGAATGAACTAGTGATTGCCTTAAACATATAGGGTTCACTTTATGTGGTTAACCTACCCTCCAAGCATCACCCAGAATCTTTAAACTTGTTGCAAACTTGAAAAAATGTTTATTTGTTAATTAATAACAGTTGTACAAAATGGTAAACAATATAATTTTAATGATAAATAATTACTTGTAAATATAACTCAACCAATATTGAAAATGATATTTAAATATTTATACAACAAAAATGTAATTATTTATATTACAATATAATATATACTATGTTCAAAACATGAAATGTTCCCATTCATATTAAGGTGAACACTACAACTGGTAACTTAAAACAGCATAACAATTCTAAATTGCTTGTGACCATCACACTTGTATTATTATCACCAATATTCTTCAACATTTGAACTACCTGATTTTTTTCACCAATTGCAGTAGCAATATTCTTAAAACCTTCTGACATAGATTGACCAATGATGGTAATTGACTCTGACAGTGCTTTTAGTGCATTTGCCTGTTGGCTGTCACTTTCAGCTATCTTGTTCACCATGAGTTCCTGCAACACAAGTTCTTTTTGTGCAATGTTTATCATCTGCTGATCAGTGGAAATTTTCTTATTCAACTTTTGTTTTCGTAAATCAGAAATAAGATGACGGCGTTTCGGAGGGAGAGGGTCATCAAATGGAATGGTTGCACCTGCATCCTCTTCCAAATCCTCTTCTACATTCTCCTTGTCTTTGGCAGACGTAACAGCATGAACACCACTATGATCAGTTTCAATGGCTCCAGGTATTTCAGTAGCGGCTGCATTTCCACAAAATACATTCTGACATTCCTCATAAAATCTGTACACCTGCCTTCCACCACCACTTCTTTTACCAGCTCTTACAGCAGCAACAAACTTGTTCCTGAGTTGTTTGATTTTGCGAGCCAGTCGAGTAGGGTTGTTTTGAAACTCAGTATGTTTATGTGGATAATCGTCATTAGGTATGCCGTTTACAACCGCTAGCTTATCCACAAACATTTCATTTAAGTCGGTATACTTGCTTTTACAACTGTCCCAATATATCCCATCGTTTGTTTTTTGAGTTTTGTATTCCTGTACGATGGAAAGAAGCAATTCTACTTCGGCGTCAGTCCATATGAAATTCTCTGTGGAGCTTCGTTTACGTTTATTAGCATCAACTGTTTCGGCCATTGCAGTTTTTGGAGCAACTTCAACTATTTCGCTTGTTTCTAACGACTGTTGTTGAATTTCAGTCAATGATTTCAGTACACAAGTTTTAGTTGTCTGTGAAAGAACGGAATAATGTTGGAAAAGGTAGAAAATATTTCGCGCTAAAACTGCATCCTGGCCATTACCGCGCATCATATCTGGCAACTGAGCACTGGTAACTAGTTCTTGGGAACGTTTGTGAACCATCCTGTGAACAAGACGCCAAAACGACACATTTGAAAACGCTAGTAAAAAAACGCTCGAAAACGTTACCGTGTGCACATAGTCTTAATATACTATTCAGGTGCATTAAAATGTTTTCTTGTTTTTCCCATACGAGTCAACATTCAACTGATCTTTTTCAAGGTAGCTTCCACGATTCAGTTGCAAAGAAGACGCTTAATTTGGCTGGCTGTACGCGTGTATACGTATTAAAAGTGGAAAAAACTTATTTCATAATGGAAAATTGGACGAACATTCATATACCATTATATTTCATGGTTTTGATCTCTAATACATTGGACCTCTGGTAGCTATATCGGATCTTTCCTGTTTGTCTTCTTATACAAAGAAATGGAAAAGCGAACAGGGACTTTGTTATCATCGCAAGTTCATAAAAGGTTAGCTATAAAAAGTATATTTTCTTGTGAATTGTATTCATTTCGCGGGGGGGGGGATTATTATCAACGACTATAAATAATCACTTACCTTTGAATGTTTTATATCTTAAGGTGGCTCCCTACAGTTCTATGGTTTATCGCGGTAATTTTGTCGCGCGCGAAATAGTACACGCAACACGCGTGGCTGATGTTGCACGCAGGGTGGATCTTTTAAGATTTATCATTGTGAACTTTTGATAAACACGCGCGGGCCTTCGCGGGACGTTGACTGGTCGATCGAGGAAATTAAAATCCTGATTTTTGTGACGTCATAAACATAAAAATAAATGTATTTTTCTCGTTTTTCCTTCGGTAAATTCTTTTCAAACTTTACACAGTTTTCTGTAATCGTAAAATGCGTAAAATGTGCAAGTTTTAAGAAAATCGTACGAGCCGAATTTTTTTAAATTAAAAAACAGGATTTTTTGAGGATTTAAAAAAAAGTGCTCGTACGATTTTTTTTAAATGCTAAAATAAAAAGAATTATGGATAAGATTACTGTATGGAAAAAAGTAGAAAGTTTTACCGAAGAAAATTTCAAAAAAATATCTCAGAATCTGCAAATTAGCCCTTTTTAAAATCGTTATGTTACCATGGCAACGAGGATATTTTACGAAATTTTATATATTTCGTAATTTGCGATATCATAGCAGTTATGTGGCCAAGTTTCGTGATCATACTTTGTAAGATGATAAAATAATGGTCTTTCGAACACAATTGCGCATTACACAATCAAATCTGTAGGGAGCCACCTTAAACGGCAAATCATGAGGAATATTTTCACGTTTTTGTCATCAAAAATGACCATAGAACAGCCGCGAGGCATTTGTCCTTGCCTCGCCTTGCTCATCCAGCTTATAGCTACTGCTTTTATTAATAGGTCAATTATTGTGAGTTCCGATTTAATTTTAAAGCGCTCAGTATTTACAAGTTAATATAAGCTGATAAGAAATTATTAGACCAAAGTTATACGACCAAAATTATGTTTTCATTCACTTTAATTGAGTTGTGCATTTTTTACGACATTGTATAAGTTTATCAGTTGCACAAATTATGACTTATGTTTAAAAACAACGATAATGGCGGCGACTATATATACAGTATATGCAAGCCGAGCAAGAAGCACAAAACAGAAATTAAACATAAAAAAGAAAGGTTTTGTAGCATATACAATAGTCAAACGCAAAAGATCATTTTATGACTTTACTTACCACATATAAATTAGTCCGTGAAGATCCACAACCGGGCTTTTGTTTTCTACTCGCTGCATTTCCACTGGGAAACTAATGTTTTCAAAAAATACTACGCCATATAAAGTATTTGTTTATTCGTAAAATCATGAATCAAAACACATTTTTATACTTACTGAGGTCATCTATTTCCTCCACATTTACATAGTTTAGATATAAGATGCTACGAATTCTTGGGTTTTTTAATTGTAGACTTTTTAATTAATTACATGACTGTTTGTTTCCTTTGCACATCAACGAAACGAAAATAGCTGTACTATCGGGCATAAATGACTATATAGCTTTTTTGACCAGGCTAGCCAGATGTAGAAAAACGTCTTAACACCCCCCTGATTTGGATTTTTCACAGTTTGATGTAAATTTCAAAAGCCAATGAAATCTTGCCGTCGTCATTTAAACAGAAAACCGGTATCAGGTGAACTGTACCACGCATAGTCACAGCGAAAAACTCAACAAAATAATGAAAAACTTTGCCGATTTTTCATTATTTTCAGTGCCGTTTTTGAGAAAAAAAGTTAGCGGTAGTTTAGTAAAATTATTGGAGCTTACTTTTATCTTGTTTATTTCATATTCCATTGTGTATTTTAAAAGTTTTTGAACAATTTTTTCGGGGCTACATGCATAATTTAGGTATTTAGTTGCCTACCTTAGGTATATATATGTACATGATGTAAACACGACGTGTCACAATAACCGCGCGTAATCAATGCAGTCGGACACTAAGTAATACTCATTACACAAAAAGGAAATACACAAACGAGAAACTATTTTAAAAGTATTTTATTGCAGAGAAATTTATTTAAACATTACTACACAATTCTGAGTGACCTAGGTATTAATATGCTAAATATGATGAAGATCATCATTATGAAAATTATGGTTGCCATGGTAACCATCATTTATCATGATTAATATGCTAAATATGATCAAGATCATCATAATGATCATCATTGTTGCAATTGCAACCATTATTTATTATGATTGATATGTTAATTTTGATCATTATGATCATTATGATCATCATGGTTGCCATGGCAACCATAATTTATCATGAATAATATGCTAAATATGATCAAGATCTTCATAATGATCATCATGGTTGCAATTACAACCATAATTTATTATGATTGATTTGTTAATTTTGATCATTATCATCATAATGATCATCATGGTTGGCATAGCAACCATCATTTATCATGAATAATATGCTAAATATGATCAAGATCATCATAATGAAAAAAATGGTTGCCTTGGTAACCATCATTTATCATGAAAATTATGCTAAATATGATTAAGATCATCATAATGTTCACCATGATTGCAATTGCAACCATAATTTATCATGAATAATATGCTAAATATGATCAAGATCATCATAATGAAAATTATGGTTGCTATGGCAACCATAAATTATCATGAATAATAAGCCAGATATGATCAAGATCATGATAATGTAAATTATGGTTGCCATGGCAACCATCATTTATCATGAATAATATGCTAAATATGATCAAGATCATCATAATCAAAATTATGATTGCATTTGCAACCATCATTTATCATGATTAATATGCTAAATATGATCAAGATCTTCATAATGAAAATTATGGTTGCCATGGCAACCATCATTTATCATGAATAATATGCTAAATATGATCAAGATCATCATAATGAAAATTATGGTTGCCATAGCAATCATCATTTATCATGAATAATATGCTAAGTGTGATCAAGATCATCATAATGATCATCATAGTTGCAATTGCAACGACAATTTATAATGACTGATATGTTAATTTTGATCATTATCA